TTTTTTTTTTTTTTTTTTTGAGAACGTGCGAAAATCCGTGCGCGCGCAGGATGTCATCCATAAAATTAAAAAAGTGTGGCCTTAGCAAAAAAAATGGATTTTCCTTTGATAAATGACAATTTTTCAATAAAGCAATTATAAAGAAGGAAAAGCCATCTATGAATTTCCATGCAGTCTGATGACAAACATAGATTCCAGAATAATTGTTATAACCATTATTTTGGTGGTAAAATAGAATTTATATTTCTGTGATTTGTTTACAATGTACTTTTACGTATTTAAAAATATTAATCACATATGAAGTTATTATCCCTTTAAATATGGCATGCTTTTGTAAAATGCACAAGATCATTTTTGTACCACCATAGTTAAAATATTTTGAAGCTGCTAGTATGTAATGGGGACCACTTGGAAAGGCAATATCAATATATACCTGAAAAAGTTATTACTTAAATGTTCATCACCTGTAATTCTCCAGCCCACCAATGTCTTCCAGCTCAAACAAATAAAGGCTGTTTCTCTGTTCTTAGGACAGGCCAGCTGTCTTCTTTCAAAGACCTCAGCCAACCAAGGAATTTGTCCTTCAGCCACTATATATAATGAGTAAAATGCACATGAAAAAGTATAGCAGAAATATAACTATTCATTTTACATTTTGTGCCTGCAAGATTAATTGGTTTAACCTGAACAAACTGATAAAAATAAAGTGTGGACCAAAAAAGCACTTAATGAATTTAAAACTACAATACAGTGCAATTAAAACAAATGGAACATAAAAAATAATTTAATTTAAAAAAAATGCTAATTGGCTTTTGTGTCAGAAACACCTCTAGAGATGAAAAAGTACTATTGTGACCTGCAAAACAAAGCCAACCCTTCATTTTGTGTACTAGTTACCTGATTACCATGGCTGTCCTGAAACTTGCTGTGTCTTCTACAACTAGATGATAAAGGATGTTCCTGCAGCTGCCATTTCCTGTCTATTTCATGTTAACAAAAGATGTCTCCCATGTCCAGCCAGGTAAAGACATCATGCTGTATGGAGACTGGAACTGGAAAAAGTGAATGCATCAGTGAAGGGACACAAATTATATAATTTAAAAAAAATACGGAAACCTGGAATTCTGCAACAGCCAGCAAAATATAAAAAACTACAATACATTGCCAAATTCCCACCTTATATGGCAGATATCAGTGCTGTGGCAAGTGAAATGAGACAAGTTAAAAATGGACCTTTCTTTTGTGGTCTACAAGTAATTGTAACTACCAAGAATGGCATCTTATCAATATCATTTGATCAAAGTGAAATAGACAGAACTCTGCCAAATCTGCCTGAATTTGCAAACAAAATTGCCAGACACCTGTAAAAATCTGGAATAAGTACATCAGTTGTACATAAGTACATCTATTTGAAGAACAATTGGTTGGGAGATGTGTCAAAAAAGAGAAAAATTACTTATGAAAATTCTGAATTCTGATACTTACGAAAATTGAACCCAATTATCTATTCTCAAACAATGTAAACCAGTTGTACCACTGCGAGCAGTCCAGTTACTGTCATGGCAATGGGTCATCTGAGGAAAGTAATGACCACTGCTCCACTTTGGGTCCAATGTACATCATCCCAAACTGACCCAAACTGACCACATCAAGCAGGCTACTACCATGACACTGGACACAAACTGTCAAACTGTGTGTGTGAACTAGAATAAAGATAAACATTCATTAAGATATTCAACCACTTGGCCACTGATGATCAGAATTGTTAATAACTATCCAGTACTTCAGCAGATATATTAATTCCAATGTTTATTTTATGTAATATTAATAATGTTTTGTGCATACAAGATGAATAAGTTTAGTCTAAACAAAGTGTTTAAAATGATCAAAAAAGTACTACCACAGTAAAACTGCAATGCACATTACAATTTAATTAATTCTTTTTATGTGGAATATTATAGTAATATAACCCATCTTTTTCAAGTCACAATAAAAATTATTAAAAGTTTAAAAAAGTTTGCAATTGTGTTCCTACACAGAAAGAGATGAGACCAATTATACCCACTGTTTACTTGAAAAACAACTGAAACTACCTGTAAGAAGTCCAGTTCCCTGTGTACCATGGCTGTCTTGTCTTTGGCTGTTCACAGCCACTGGTCCTGCAACTTGTCTCATTCCATATGTTGCACAACTGAGCAAGATGAAAAGATGTACGTGCCTGTTGCTGCCCTTTTCTCTCTGTTCCATGGCAAAAACATGCCCCCCATGTCCAGCCAGATAAAGTCAATCCACCGAAAAGACACCATGCTGTATGGAGGCTGAAGATGAAAAAAAAAAACAAGAGATTACATTTGTGATGTGACAAAAATTCTGTGACTTTGAAAGTTATGGGGGTTTATATTGCAAAAGTACCCAAAATTGAAATCTTTGTACACTCAAACTCACTCAATAAGTCAAGTTACCTCAGCATTTACCAATGAAAATGCATAAATTTATCAACTCTGGTGACATGGTTGTTTCTTATTGAGGGTTTCAGCTTGCATTTCATCAAAACAAATGGTGGCCATGTTGGAGATTTAAAGCAATATTGTCTGCTACACAAGTGCATTATGGGCTGTGTACAACATTAAAATTGTGGGCACTCACAACGGTTAATTGATCATCAGTTCTACATATCCATGAATCAAATATCGCCGTATTCCACTACATGAAAGCAGAGCCGCCTAATCCGCTGATGGTCTCCCTGCCTCCACACACGCTATCCCTGCAGGAGGCTGGCAATTTAAGCTATAAAAACAATTTAATCCATTTTATGGTGCCTGTGGCAGCAGGGAGACCATCAGCAGATAAGTCAGCTCTGCTTTCATGTAGAGACTGCCATATATGATCTGCAGATCAGTAGAACCAAGGATCATCAGTTGTGAATGCCCTTGCTGTTCTGTACACTTCCTGTGATATTTAACTTAGCAAAATGATGAATTATTGCAAGGTATCTGATCAAGAGAAGAAATAATACTTTAGACACCCTGCAGTGGTAACAATTAAGCCAAAGTTAAGGGCCAAAACATAACTGTAAACTTTTAATCAAGACTTCTTGAACAAGTAATACTCAGTATGTAATACTCATTTATTTTAAATGCAGAGACAGTGAGTTAAGACCCAACATAACTGACTTAGACTGTTTAGAGAAAGCATTTGAAAACCAAAGCCCTAAGTGTATACGTATGGGACGCATACTACATAAAAACTACCCAACATTGGGTGGTGAACATGTTTTGATCATTGATTGTGTTGAAATACACAGGCAGGATTCAACTACTAAACTATAGCTAGTGCTTTTTATTTTCTACCTCAGATGGTTCCAACAATCCCAATCTACCGTATAACATTTATAACACTAGGATCATCGGACCCCTTTCTCTGTCCTCTAGCTCTCTGTCTCTCTCTTAAAAACCCCGCCCAACTGTAGCTTTCAACTCCCAAGACTTTCGGTAGCAGATCACTACAACAAACTACTCACCTTTCTGTCATCAAAAATCCCGAAATGTCCTACTGCTTCATATCAAACGTTTATAGTAAATCGTAAATTGGTATAACGTTATTTCATAACGTGTAAAGTGTTCCCGCGACGCTGCACGTAGGTCAAAGAAGGTCCGCAGTGAATACATCTGGTCATATGCATATTGACCCATTAGAGCCTGCGNCGGTTAATTATACCTAGCGCGCCTTGGTAGTCTTGCTCTGCTCTGTTAAAATATCTTTTGAAATTTCATTTAGATATTGATCGAAAATATAATTATTACATAAAATACCACTTTATTCTCTCCTTATCTCCCTCTTTCTCTCTCTCTCTCTTTTTATTTTTTTGCTGCAACTTTCTGGATCTCAACTGCAACTCTCTGGATGACAACGTTCTAGCAAAAACATCGGAACACGTGTAAGTTACGAACATATATAAGGAATGATGAAATTCATTGCTCCTTTCTATTCAATCTATCTTTTAAATACAATTTTATCCACTAAAACTATCGAGGATTTTATATCTACATCGACAGGCCTACGATAAAATGCCTTTTTTTCTTATGTGGTTAGTAGGCTAAATCTCTAAATTCAGGGGACATACTATTAGTAGACTATAGCCACGTTACATGTATAGGCCTACAGTCATGAAAAAGTATTGTAAAAAGCGGCAACAGAGAAGTTTTTCTAACACAATTCGTTTGTTGTAGGCATAATTTTTCAAAATAATTTTAATCATTTAAAAATGATATAAAAACTTTTTACAAGAGCCTGATGCGATAAGATTTTTTTCTGTTTTTAAACACAGTACGGTTTAAAATATGTGCTGCTAGCGCTGTGATACAAAATGTAGGCCTAGGATTTTTGGTCTCTCTCTCTAATACAGTGTGCTTAAAATATGTGCACTGAGTAGCTACGTATATACAGTACATCTCTTGACTTCTTTCGTCCCAAATGTACCCATTAAATATGATTAGCACAGGTGTTGGCCAGATTTTCGTGTGCATCGAAAGACTTACTTAAGAAAAACAGACAAAATGCTAGGATTATTTATCATCAACGCACGCGGAGTTAAAATGCGTGATAGAGGGCAACGTCTTGGAGATTATGTAACAATAAAACAAGAATAATATTCGTTGACATATTCATTGTCTCTTTTAAATTCTTTTTAAAAGTGTTTAAGTTTTTATGAACTTCGGCATGACAATAGTCTTTGCCTTATGTCGTGTATGCATCCTTTTAACATGGTGATTATTTGTGCTGTGGTGGTGCTTAATGCGAGTTTTACGTTTTTTCACAGGACGTAGGCCTAAGACAGCCTTTTTTTCTCTATCGTTTTCTTATTTTATTTATCATTTATGAATTCTATTGCTGTGCATAGCTACCAATTATCTACGTTTGTAGAAAGTCTCTGGCAGTGAATCGCGAACTGTTGCACATTAAATATATTGCAAATTTATTTCAGCATATGAATCAATAAAATATCAGACAACTTTTATGAAAAATAAACTGAACTTTAATTTAATTTGAAGATTCTTTTGTCTATTATCATTTCGAATTTACGTTAAATATCGGCACGTTCATCTTCATCACCATCATACTTCAGACGCAGTCCGAAGCGCGAAGTTCAAACAGTGCATACCAAAACCGTGAATATGAGTGCTAACAAAGCAGTTGTTACCTGAAAATCACAAATTTTACTTTTTAGAATTATTACAAGAAAAAGTAATGAAAAAGAACGAAAGCAGATTCGAGAATAATTTTTAATATAAAATTGGAGTATGAACAATAAAAGCAGCTGCAAGCAAGTGGAATTCCGGCTACACACTCAAGATTTTAAAGACAATACGACTTAAAGCGCGTCACAATTAATTCCTAAATGATATCGGTACCCTGACAAGGCAGGGCAGGACTACGTGAAAACGATATACAACCTCTCCTACACATACACTAAACTTACACACGCACACACACACGCACGAACGCACGCACACACACACGCACGCACACACACAGACCAGAACGAAGGAGGGGGGTCGGGTAGTAGACTATAGACAAATCCAATGCTTGAAGTTGTAGGCCTACGCCAGTTCACTGTTTGTCCTAGCTAAATCATCACAAAATGGAAAAAAACGAAACAGATCAAAATTATAGGCCTTATAAAGTACGGAATGTGCAGACCAGCATAATCAACAACTGTGGGCTTGGAAACAAAACTGCTCCTCCCCGTTGTCAGGTCTATCTTTTAAAATAAATTGTTTTATTGTATAAAATATAACATGTATAAAACCATAGACTTCGGTCGAATAATCTAGCTGTGTGTACTAGGATACTGTGCATGAGCCCAAAAATTATGCTACAGTATATTTAAAATAGAAATATCAAGACTTCTTGAACAAGAACAGTCACAATTATATCCGATATAATTCCCTGCTTTCACACAGCTTTCACACTTCTATACACCCTGAGTGTTGGAGGTGGCTTGCTTGTATGGTAGCAATAGAAAGGGGGGGGGGGGCAGAAGAATTCTAATTGTGACTTATAATTCCCTGGTGAAAGTAAGTCAAAAGTTCACGGATAGGATATGCCATGTAAGGGTTCTTAAGGGAGATAGGCGATGTCCTTTTGCTTTATTTTTTATTGTCAATTCCAAGAAGAAATACAATATCTGTCATTCTACTAAGTACAATTAACAATTCTACCCTTCCATCCAACTCCAACTCCACCGGCGTTTTTTGCAGAACCCACCTTATGCCATGGTAATTATCAGTTTATTCGGCTACTTTAGATATATCTGTTTAAAAACAAAAACAAGCATTCAGGCACGGTCAGCTCACGACTCCTATCTTCCAATTCAGTGGCAGCTAACATAAACTGATGTCTGTCATAACCGAGCTATTTCGAACAATAAATATGGTTGCTGAGTGAAAGCGTGATACACGTCTGTGATATAAAAAGTTATTTCTAATTACATAATTTACAAACAGTGCTTGTGGATCAAAGGTGCCCCAATTTGTGAGAAAATGGGACATTACTTTTTGAAAATATTGAAAAAATTGGAAACAAGCCAAGCCATTTATTTGTGTTAGACAAAGGTGGATTTTATTGAGATCTCTCTCTCCCCCTCTCTCTCTCTCTCTCTCTCTTATTCCATTTTTTGCGCAAAAATTAAGGCGAAAACCGACAGAAAAATAATAACTTTAATAGTCAAAATATGCAGAAGTAAAAAGATTTCGGAGTTAAAAATCTTGTTTCTCTTTGTAGAGGTTCACAGTGAGATTTTAAAGACAACTTGTAATTACCTCCGTCAAGGAGGTTATGTTTTCACCCCTGTTTGTTTGTTTGTTTGTCTGTCAGTCATCAACATAATCAAAAAGTTATGGACCGATTTTGATGAAATTTTCAGGAACTATCAGAAGTGGGCCAAGGAACAGATGATTAGTTTTTGGTGATGATCCGGATCAATAATCAATAATAATAAAAAATTTCTGCCTTGGCGGAGGTCTGCGCTCTCGGAGTGCTTTTCTAGTTGTATAAATTGATAATCATCCGATATAATCTGCTTCTGAATAATGTTCGTGACACACAAATAAATTAAACTTTATACCGTCTTGTCAAAATTACATTTTTCATTAGACAATTAAAATTTTGGATTGTGTCAAAACGCGTCTTTTAGTCTTCTCTTACTGTTCAAGTGCGGAAAATAGGCCTGTGTTTAGGATGTAAATAAACTAAAGTTTGATGTGGCAACATGTCAAGTTGGATGCATTTGTTTATTCTGATTATTTTGAAAAGGGAAATTCAATAACTTTCATCGCATCCACTGAAAATAAAACTCAAAGATTTCTATCCCCTTTCCTGCACCACACTTTACATTTTAGTAAATGCTTAGATAGCCTTCACCTCCATTCCGTTCACAGTGCATCGCTTCCTGGCGCACTTCTGACGCACTGCCACCAGCTACAGTAGTGTGCTGTAGGAATTGATCTGTATCTAATTATAGACTATGTCAATAAATTTCTATTTTTCAATATTGAAGAGAATTCAATTGGAAATATGCTTTTGTTTGACAAGGTGTAGGTAAGATTTTTGCCATTGTAAAATAGTAGGCCTACATGTTTGACGAAAAATAAACTTTGTCTTGTGATCTGTAAGAAAGGCTCAAAATCTATGTGTGAAGATCAATTTGTGGTCAGAACTCTTTTCAGATTATGCAACCGCCCCCTTCCACCCAACCACCCACTATCGTCGCATGAAGAGAATGGCAGCCAAGATATTTGAATTTTAAATAAAAAGTGAAAAAAGTATTTATTCTTATTTTACATGGACTTTATGCCTTTTGCGGGCATTTTCTACACAGTCCTTCGTCTGCTGACAGTCTCTGCCTTCGATTTAATTTTGTTATGGGGATGGTTGGCTGAGAAAGAAATGAAATATGTCTATAACACTGGTCTGTGCACCTTTTTCCAAATCCAAGGTAGCCGTAGGTTGGAGTGTGGTAGGGGCCTACATGTATAAACATATCCTACATCACGAATAAATATAGGCCCTACATATTAGAAATACGTTCCAAGACAGAAAACTGCTTTCCAAGGTTGTTGGGTTTTCTTATCTTTTTCCCCATCATATCTATTGATATTAATCTTAAATTTTGCGTAAACGAGTTTTGAAACAAAAGTAAAAGATGTAATGCTTATGTTAATCTACATGTACCGGGTAGATGTGTGTTGGTGTATCCGCGCACGTGCTTGTGTACGTATGTGCATGTATATGACCATTGGCATCCGTACAAATAACTAAATATTGGAGTATGCACAACTGCGGGCTTGTAATAAGTTATCCATCCTTTTCAGTAACTTATACTTCAAAAGAAAAGGCAAAATATGGAAAATGTAAAATTGTGGGCTACAAACAGGCTTAGTTTTTCTCTACCCTTTAGAAATCATTCTAGAATTTCCACAAGTTGCTATCTCTGTGCAGAATGACTGTTGATTTATTCTATCCAAACCTAAGAGCCCATTTGCAGGTCGAACGAATACGTTTGTCACTGGCCGTATGAAATAAACAGAAATGAAAAAAGCATCCATTAAGACCAACT